AGTGCGGTCTTCCATGCCAACGTACTTCCTTCTGCCCTGATGTATTCTTGGCCTTATACACCCCTGTTGAGTATGACAGCCACTGGCCACATGAGGCTACATTAATGGAAACCAATCAAGGTTGAATACAGCAGTCCACCCAAGCCATCTTTCAAGTGCTCAAAATAGGATGAGATAAAGAACATTTCTGTTGTCACCCCAGGACAGCCCAGCCATGGTCCATGCCTCTCCTCACCTGCCTCTTGGGTCATCTGCCTATCTCAAACACCGGTATCTCCAACCTATCTTCCTGCATACTTTACACCATCCATGGACTGTCCAAAATACACAATATAACGCAAATACTATATTAGGCAGCTTATACTATTGTTTAAGAAGTGGTGACATAAAAAGCCAGTGTGGGCATGCTCAGTATGGATACTATGTTCTTTTGGTGTGCTGAATTTGTCTATTTGAAACTTGCAGAGGTGGAAGGCCAACTGAACTTCAATTCAAAGACCAAGTCATGAAGGGCCATCCCCATTAACTTTTAATCCAGTATCTCAACACAAAACCCTCTCTCCACTCTAACTTGACCATACCTTATTAGGAAATTGGACAGAATCCCTTTCTGAGGTACACAGTGACGCTTGTCCCTGCCTTGGTACAGCCTATCTATCTATCTATCTATCTATCTATCTATCTATCGCTTCTATTTGTCCAAAGAGAAAAAGATCAAAGCTACCTAAGTGACAGGAGACCTTTCTCATCAAGTTCCTAGCTTACCACCTTCACCAACCCCGGGTTACGCTATCTCTGCCCCACCCCACTCCCCTCACCAAGATCTAAGGATCCTGGAAGGTTTATCCCTGTAGGCCCCCCTGTCTAAAGCACTCTTCCTATATATCTTCACAATCTTACTCTCTGCTCAGGATATCATGCCCGAATCCCAAGGTAAAAGTGAGGTGGCCCTTCCCCAAGTCACTGTTGTCCCAGCGCAGACTCCAGCACAGATCTCGCCACACTCAACTTCAATGTCCCCATTGTATTCCCATTACCCATATGGGGCACCACGAAGGCTGGCGGTGTCATAGGATCTGATTTATTCATTGGCCTCGGATTAACAATAATGGCCATTAATCTTATAGGGTTCTGGAGGAGATGGAATTAGGCCAGATGCCGAGACTTTTCTGCTAAGCCGCTTTTAATTAAACCATGAGACAGTGTCATATCCTCTTACCGCAGGGGTTTTCCAAACTGATTTGTGACCCATAATGGGCAATAGGATCAATATGCTGGGTCATGACCAACTTTCATAAAGTATGGAGTGGAATAGAGAATATGTGAATGTGTTGCACACGTTTTCCCATGAAATTTTTGTCTCAGCTATATCTATGCATATGCATGTGTGTAATGGGCCATAATGATAAAGTTATCTCTTGTTCTGGCTTACAGTCATAGAAATGGAAACGTCCCTGTTCCCAATGGTGCCTGCTTTCCCTGAGGCAGATAGACAGATTGCGTTGACTGACTTCAGAGCGGTGAGTGTTTATCTTAAGTGCATCACCTTAAGATACATCAGTTTTCGGTTTTGTCTTCAGTTATTCTATAATTTTCAGAAACGTCTTATTCTTTTAAAATTTTTGGGCTATCAAAATTATTATGAAGGATCCTGTTTTCGCATATATGTGTGTATGCATCTGGCTATGGCCTGGAAGCTCAGAATAACAGAAGCGTTACAGAAATGTCAGCTGGTGTAACTATCATGGAATGGTTCTATCACTTTCCCAAAAGGAGGCTTTTTAGATTGTTGGTATGCCCATCTATCTACCTATCCTTGTTGGTATACACATCTATCTACCTATCCTTGTTGGTATGCCCATGTATCTACCTATCCTTGTTGGTATGCCCATCTACCTACCTATCCTTGGTGCTGGTCCTCAGGCACTGTCCACATGTCCACATTTTGTCGGAGATGGGGTCTCTCATTACCTTGGGACTCTTCCCCATAGGCTAGGCCAGTGGTTTTCAACCTTCCTAATGCTACGGCCTTTAATATAGTTCTTCATGTTGTGGTGACCCCTGATCATAAAATCATTTTTGTTTCTTCTTCAGAACTGTAATTTTGATACTGTTATGAATCATAATATAAATATCCACTATGCAGGATATCTGATATGTGACCCCTGTGAAAGAGTTGTTCAGCTCCAAAGAGGTCACGATCCACAGGCTGAGACCTGCTGGGCTAGGTGCTAGCCTGGTGTTTCCCGGGATCCACCTGTCTCTATTTCCTGAGTCACTGTTGTTAGGATTATTGGCATGCACCATGGTACCTAGCTTTATACATGGGCTCAGGGGATCAGAACACGGGTTCTCATGCTTGTGACATTGTATATGGGCTCAGGGGATCAGAACACGGGTCCTCATTCTTGTGACGTTGTATATGGGCTCAGGGGATCAGTACATGGGTTCTTGTTCTCGTGAGGCAAGTCCTTTACTGCCCAGGACATCTCCCAAGCCCTGGTGTTTCAGATCATGTGCAGACTCTTTAACATGGTTTAGAGATGCAGTGGCCGCTACAGAAGCTCTACAGATGAGGGTATAACATCCACTTTCTTTTGAGCCGATATGGAGAAACTCTCAAGGGCAGGGCTGTGGTCACCTGTCTTGGTATGGCCTGGGTGCTTGGGAAATGTCATCTTGTGGCATCACTATCTGTGGGATAGTTCTAACACTTTCCAAAAGGAGGACTGCTAACTTATTGGTATTTCATGTCCATCTATCTCTCCAGCTACTTGACCACTGAAGGCAGGAGACGTGATAACACATTTGGCTCCACTTCCAATGGCACCCACAAAAGATCGCCATCATTGTATCTATGGTGGTAGAAGTTTGCAAGCTACCACAATTTCCCAGGAACACCCACGTTTAATTTGAAAGATGGATTAATGTTTGTCATCTGGGGCATCTCCACAGCTATGTATTTCTATTTCTGATGAAACAAATAAGATACTGAAGCCATTTATATCCCTTCCCCCACCCCATACATCAACACACACTGATCCTGAGACCTGCGACACAGGGAACAGGGATGATGATGGGGATGATTATTACCACAGAAAATGGAGGCAGAAACTCTTGGGGTGTTTCCTTTATCATTTATACAGGAATTAACAGTATTATAAAAGTAATATATCTGTATAGATCGTCAAAAGTTTCAACTTAGAAAATATAAAATCCTATTATTTAAAGCTATCTGGTACCATTTTGATGTTTACCTTCCCAATATTTTTCCATATTTATTCATACTTTATAAACATCTGAATCTATTGGAGAGTAGGCCACCTTTGTCCCTTCCACATGTCCTTTCTAAGTCTAGACACATTCTTCTTTCCAGAACTTAAAAGGGAGGCATGGTTCCCACCAGGATTGCAGACCATCACCGAATTAACTAATTCCCGGCTGCTGGGCATTGGTGCCGATGGAAAAAAATGCTTTTACAAACCTCACGTTTCCAATGCCAGATCGTTGTGCCTATCCAAGACTACAGACTGCCAGGGAGAGCTTTATGCTCACTCTTAAGGTAACAGCCACAGTTACCTCCCTTTCTGCCCTCAGTTCCCATGTAAAGTTCACTCAAATCATTTTGACCTTGGTTTTGAAAAGCAGATATTTGTGACTTAACAGCATGGAATCAGGAGAGAAATGTGACAGAGGTGGGGTCAGGCCACTTGTTGGAAGCTCAAGGTAATCAAATACATTTGGGGAAACCCGAAAGGCTGCAAGGTGATGGGTTTGTGGCCTCTTATGGGAGGCGGCTCATAAGGCAAACCTGTCTCAGGCTGCCCAAGGGCCTTCTTAATGGAAGTTTCTAGTCAGTTTGACACAAGTTAGAGCCTAAGGCAAACCTGTCTCAGGCTGCCCAAGGGCCTTCTTAATGGAAGTTTCTAGTCAGCTTGACACAAGTTAGAGCCGTCTGGAAAGAGAGAACCTCATTTGCAAACAATGCCTCTACTAGGTTGACCGGTAGGCAAGTCTGTGGGACAATTTCTTGACTGATGATGGATTTGAGTAGACACAGCTCACCGTAGCTGGTATCACGCCTACGCATGTGGCTTTGTACTGTGTAGGAACGCAAACCAAGCAGGCCTGCAAACAGTGTTCACCCACGGCCTCTGCTTCGGTTCCTGCCTTCACGTTAGGCTCAGTGATAGGCTGCGATCCATGTACGCCAAACAAACCCTTCCCTCCCCCAAGTTTCTTTGGGTCATGGTGCATGGTGCTTATTCTAGTAATAGAAAGCAAATTAGGACCACATTGTACCACTAAAAGTTTCCTCCCTTTCGGTGCCACTGTCTTTTCACCATAGCTAATGCAAATTCAGGGCGGCATGAGGACCCAAGTGGGTATTATGTGAGGCCTGTGATGTGAGGTCAGGGATCTAGAATGGTGCTGTCTGAACTTGGAGCAAAATGTTCAGCTTTCAGGTGATGGTGAGTTTTGAAATCTGTCAACGTGCCAGACCTAGAATCACCTGAGAAATCAGTCTCAATGCAGGGCTGTCTGGATCAAGCTGGCCTATGGGCCTGGCTGTGGGGAACTGCCTTGACTATGTTATTTGAAGTGGGGACAGCCCCTTGGTGTGTCCCTGTCCCATGGAGTTTGGGTCCTTCACAGCACACAGATGGGAAGATGGGAGAGGCAGGCGCACATCAGCACATAGGTGCTCATTCCCTCTCTACTCTCAACTACGGAGGCGGCCAGCTGCTTCAGGTTCCTGCTGCCCCCATCTCTGGCAATGACGGACTGTAAGCGGAATACACCCTTTCTCCCCTAAAGTTGCTTGTGTCGGGGTGCCTTGTTATCGCAACAGGAATCAAACGTGGGAGACAGATAAGCAAACATCATAGAAAAAAAAAAAAGAGGCCGACTCAGGAACGGGGACAATTTCACCAACTCTCACTTACCTGGTTATACACATCCAGTGCATTATGGAGGGGGTAAAAAGAGACAATACGTACCCAACAAACGAAGGAGGAGAAAAAGAACTCCCAACGCGTAAGACTTGAGTTCAGGGCTGACTGTCCTATGTAGAAAAGAGACGGAGGGGAGAAAAAAGATTCTTATCACTCCAGTTTAATGAACAGACCCAGAGCTATTTGTTGCTGTCCATTAGATCCTCCCTTAGAAAATGACTAATCGGTTTCCTTCTCTTTTTTTTTCCTTGCCCAAAGTCTAAAAAATGACTGCAACTGTGGGGCCAAGATAAGTTTAGAAATTAGGTGGGTTTTTTTTTTCTACCTTAAATAACTTGGGCTTGAAGGGCTGGATGAGGTCTATACTTAGAGCGGTGTCCTTTTGTTCCAGGGAAGAATCACCATAGGTGGGTGGGTAAGGGATGTGCAATGTGGGACACCAGCTCAGCAAATTTCTGAAAAGCAGCCAGAACCGTGAACACCTTCACCATTCTGGGGGCCGTTTGTAAGACCCACCAGGTCTGCATGCATTGGCATCCCGGGTGGGAGAGCTGGGACGCAAGTGTGTGTACCGAGTTTTAGTGCCTTGTAATCTTTATTGGTTCCCCCTGCTGGCCACTAGACTCTGCTTTGAGCTGACTCAATCGTCCTGACCTGGGTTGCCCCATGTATTGTCCCTAAGAATGATCTCACATGCTCTCCAGAGTGTGGCGTGTTTGGAAGGGGAGTAACGGTGGAGCCAGTTTAAGAGTGATGACAGATTTTAGACAGGTTATATTATCCACACAGAGGATAATGCCTCTTACGCTTCCAGCTGGGATTTATTCAACGCTTGCCTTCTCTCCTCAAGGCTAAGAACAACTTGCCTTGTGGTTACTTCTGCGATCTCAACCACACTTACTTAGCTCTAGCACCCCGCCTGTGCTGAGGGAATACATAAGTGGGCAACAAGCTGGGCAGATGTCTCTGATTTACCACCCAGGGAACCTCTACCTGTGGTTTTGTGGTGAAGGACTCTGAGGGAAAGAGATTGGACAAGATACACATGGGTGGGCTTTGGGTTATGCAGAGTGTCACCTCTTTATCTCTGTCACCACTGTGTCTCCTTAGGGGAGGAGAAAGGGTGTATGTGACTACACCTCTTGAAAGACTTGGCCAGGCATGGAGCCAGTCATTATGGCTGAATCTTACACGTGCTGGAGCATTTTAGTACGACTGGAGGACTAGAGACCAGAGCCACATGGTGAAATGAGGTTGTGGGAGTAGGGTCTGTAGAAAATAAAGGTTAGGAGCAGAATTACTCATGGAGTATCTGGTATAATAGGTACATATTATTGTCTATTGTCTGGGTGGTGTGAGAGAGAAGAGTATCAGAAGTCAATGCCGGATGTCTTCCTCAGTTCCTCTCTTCCTTGTTTTTGAGCCAGGGTCTTTTACTGAACCTAAGTTCCAAAAACTTGCTCATCCTAGCATTAGGGTTCCATCAGGGTCACTGTGTCTGGTATTTATGTGGGTGTTGGGAATATAAACTCAGGTTCTGGTACTTGTAACATATAACTGACCGAGTAATGTTCCCAGGCCTAGAATAATATCCCTAAATGATCCCAAGGTCATTTATCCAGCAACCCATTGACAGTCATGCAGTGGTCTGTGACTTAGGTTGAGCCTTGCTGTGCGTGCTTCCGGCTTCTTGTTATAACAGGTCAAAAGTGACCATACAACCAAAAGAAATTGCATATATGCTATAGACGGACACTTTCTCGTCCCCAAATTCTTCCATTCAAGCCTAACCCCTAAAGTGATAGTGGGACCTTTGAGAGGTGCTTAAATCCTGAGGGTGGGGCCTGTAGGAATAGATTAGTGCCCTTCTGGGGACAAACGTCTAAGATCTTTTCACCACCTTGGGACACAAAGAGAATCTGTCATCTCTGTACCAGAAGTGGCCCTCACCAGTTAACCTAGCCTTGCTCTTCAACATCCTGGTCTCCAGACCGGAGAGAAACAAATTCCTATTGTTTATAAACTACCGTGTCTATATAGTATTTTGTCATAGGAGTCTGCAAAGACTATGCAACAGTAGCTTTTATAATGTTTGCCAAATTCTAAGATTTCTAGTAAAACCAACAGGTTTTACTATTCTCGGGGAAATGCAACACATCTTTTTAATTATGGAGAGTGTGGTCCAGATGCATGACCTCAGTGCAGCATGTTTCTGACCTCCACTGAGTCACCACCTCAGGGCTCTGGTTGACAAGCCAGATACATCTCTGGGCAGAACTATGGCTCTTTGGAAGACACACATAACAAAACCCAAGTCCCTCATGTTGTTCCTGCTCCATGGCTACAGATTTGGCACTTTCATTCTTTAGGCTTCACTTGAAAGACACACAAATAAAGGCAGATCTCCTTATCAAGAAAACATACTGCTATAATGAGCTAGGGTGTTTATCACTTGCAATGCGATTTCCTTTCAGCTGGCATGTCACCGGGAACAAAGTGAGGAAGGTGCTAAGATCTTTCTTCATATCCTGCGGAGAGGCTGGTTCGTCTAAGAACCAGGGATCTTAGTTAGGAAAAAATGGAGGGCTCAGGCAGGATGTTAAATATCTGGGAAAGACCAGGGATGCAGGCTTAGCATCATTAACATACCGGCTGTGAGACCCTGAGAATATTGTGTGGTCACTGGTTGGACCAGTTTCTTCATAGGTAAAACAGGAATGTTTGCAAGGGCGCAAATGCAGCAATTTCAAATAAGGGCCCAGAGATGAGACTTAACATCAGCCCAGTGACCATCCGCTTTCCGGCTTCCTTCTCAGCATTCTTTTTAAATATGCTGTGTGTATATGTGTGCATGCGTGCGTGCGTTCATGTGTGTGTGTGCGCATATGCTCACATGCACACATACAAGTGCATGTTTGTTTGTATAGGGGCCAGAAAACAACTTCAGGAGTCATTCTTATGAATGGCATCCATCTTCTTAGAGACAAAGACTCCCATGTGCAGGAAGTGCATCGGTTAGGCTAGGCTGGCCGGCCAGCGAACCCCAGGGATCCTCCCGTCTTTCCATCTTTCCACTTCCCCACTGTTGGGATTACAAATATGCCTCACCATGCCTGATATTTTTACAAGGGTTCCGGCAAATGAACTGGGGTCTTCATGCTTGTGAAGTCAGCGCTTTGCCAAGTGAGCCCCTTCCTCAGTCTCACTTCCTCCACTGTCCCTGTTGACAACCCCTGGCCAGCATAAGAATGAGTCCAACAGCTTTGGATCAGGCAAGGACTGGTAAATTATCTGCTGTGGTCAGCCTGCGTGGGGCAGCCTTATTCCTGCCTAGAATTTCGGTGCCGGCAAGCTAGAGTGTAAAAGGGATGGAAGGATGCACAGGATCCCTTCTCAACAGGAATGTGAACATGTGCCTACAGCTAACAAGGGGTTCATAGATCTACGTGGTCAGCATAGGTCATTGAGACCATCAGCTCTTGATCCATCTAAAAAGAACCCAGCATTGCCTGAAAAGCGGCAAAACCTGTTTATCAAGAGGAGGCTTGGAGACAGCTGAAATCTCCATAGTGAAAATTTTACCATGAGTGGGAACTCATGGGGAGGGAAAGGAGTGGAGCGGCCACGACTAAGGGTGGTTAGGGTCCCTCTTCCCATCTCTGGTGCCTTCTGCGTGTGAGTACTGCAATACGGTTTCAGGAGAATTTCTAATGAAAAACAAACTGCTCATAATACAGTCAGCATAAACTCATACGTGAAACCCGATGGGGTTTGTTCATATGCATATTATATATAATCGCCTTCCACGGACGTACAGTTTTAAATTCAATGGCTCATTTCATAAACACTTCTCACAGCCTTAAGATTTTTCATTATTCCTGGAACTGCAGTTCCATAATTTAACTCACTGCTTCGATTCAGGTGTTTCTGCCATTATAGTTAACGTTGTAATAAAAAATCTGTCTGTATTGAGCTTTTTTTTTTTCTTGTAGAGAGGTATTTCCTTGAGATAAATGGCCAGGAATGGGGGTAGGTTACTGTAAGGGCCTGAATATTTTTATGGCTCTTGACTTAGACTGGCATATTGCATTTCTGAGTGGACTGATAGGCTTTTCAACGCCACTAGCAAAAAGTGATTCGACTTACTTGACCACAGCCCTCCAAAGCACTGGGATGAATTTGTTGAACTTCCTAAGTGTAAGGTGCCAATTTGCTATTGTACCCTTAATGCCTTTGCACATTCCTAAGACATTGCTAACAACCATCTGGGTCGCGCATGGGCTTCCTATAAATCTACTTTCAGGAGAGTTGCCAGCAAGACCAGAGAATGTGGCAGGAAGGGCTCAGGCAATGGGAGAGCTGGGTAAAACAGTTGGTATCGTGGTGCAAGAAAATCCAAGTGGCTCCAAGCTCCCCATTTCCATCCCCAGGCCTTGGCCTTGAACTGCCTTGCCCATGTTTCTAACGAGGTGAGTCTTTCTGTGGGATATGTTTGTTCTTCTAGCTCAGATGGACACTAGGGTATGGCTCAGTGTTCTTCTGGGTACCTTGTTCAAATCCAGATAGCAATAGCATCGCAACTGATGAAATTTTCTCAGAATATTGCTAGCACTTCATCTGCCTCCAGGCAGGCTTCCCAGACCCAGGGGGCTACAGAGTCCTGGCTGTCTCACTGCAACCACTTATGAGTATAAGAGCAGCCACCATCTGCACACGGTGGGCCTCTTGGCATGGTCAACCTCTCGTGTCTCCAGAGTGGTCTGCACACATTGACCTGGAAGGGTCCAGATTATGGCAGAAAGCAGGCAGATCAGTGCTGCAATCTCTATAACAGACTCAAGACACAGACATGGGGGGCTATGTTGTGTCCAAGGCATATGGCTAATTGACAGAAGGACAAGGTTAAGACATTAAGGATTTGGTCAGTCTAATGCCATTTTCAAATCTGTGTGTGTGGGGGAGGATGTCCATGTGGGTATGTGTGTGTGTGTGTGTGTATGTATGTATGTATGTATGTCAGAGGACAAGCTTGAATGTTGTTCCTTGGGAGATTTTCATCTCACTGGCCTAACACTTCCCTGAGCAGGCTAGACTGTCCTGCAAGCTTCCAGGGATCCGCCAGTTTTTACCTCCCACCTCTCTATCATGTGATAATAAGCACGCTCTACTACATCTAGGTTTTATAGGGGTTCTTAGGGAATGAACTCAGGCCCATGCTTGTGAAGCAGGTGCCACTTCCAACTGAGCCATCTCCCCAGCCCACGATCTTCATTTTACTTCACCAACAAGGCCTGCTGAAAAACATCAGTGTGCAATGCTTTTCAAATTGGCCTTCAAACGCCTTCCTTCTGAATCTGAGGAGGTGAGCCTCTAACTCTCAGGTTATCCCTGGAAGGCCATGAAAGTGGCCTTCTACTGCTGTCCTGTTGGGCTATGACGTCCCAGCTGATGGATGGCTCCTGACTGATTCCTCTTAGCCTAGAGCAGCTGTGTTCCCGGCTGCAGCACCCATCTCGCCTTGCTTTCAGGACTCGCATGGCTCTGACCTGCAGGAGCCCTGCAGGTGTGTGCCAGGTGAAAGGGCACAGACCAACCAGGCTGACTCCCAAGTCCTCGGGACTCACTGGGCAGCTTACCTGATGAGGATGATGACGGAGGGCGTTTGGGCCATGGCCCCGATCAGGCTGCACACACACATCACACAGAGGAAGGTGAGGAAGGCCTCTTGGCACCCAGGACTGGGGCATTTTCCTGGCACCACAGTGGCATTCTCAGGGGGGACGGTGGTGAGGCATGCACAGCCTGTGAGATTCTGGAAGGGAAAGGTTCAGCCGTTTTAAACTGGGGGCATCTCTGGTTTCCACACCCAAGGCAATCCATCAGCTAAGCTTGTCACAGCCTAGTTATACATTCTACGGCATTCCATTAATTGGGCCTGAATAAGCGAGGAAGCTTTTTAAGGAATCTGCAAAAAAACCCCACATGCAAATAAAGTAATATTTATGGGGAGGAGAGCTGCTTTTCCTGTCTCCTGTGTATTTCATTCCCATTCTGAAGAAACCTCCAATAAGCTGCGCTGTAGATAAATGTGTCCCCCCCCCAATACAATTAGAGAGGAAACTGTGCTTCTATAGTATGATAAAACATTGCCAAATTAACATCGTAATTACTTGCCAATTTGTCTTCCCTTTATGCAGTTATAATTACACCGAAGTGTATTAAAAGAAGTAAATCAGGTAACCCACATATTGTTGCCGGTTCAGTGCCTGGCATGGCACTCGGAACAAAGGATGCATGCTGTCATGCATGAAGCCATTGTGCCTGCGAGACTGGTGGGAGGAAGCTGATGGAACACTTGCCCGGTGGCTGAGGAAGCCGAGGGCGCTAAGGGATCCCAGGCAGCTGACAGTAGCTCCCGGGAAGCAGAGCAAGAGTCTGATGGGATACATTTATTAATATAGGATCAGAGAGGAGAAAGGAAAGCGACCAGGTTCCATTTGATCTTCAGAGGGGCTCTGGATCAGCAAGCAGCCCCTGTTCGCAAGTAAGGTTTGCTCTCACACTCTCCTGCAAGCTTGCCAGCTCAGCTCGCTCCAGGAATTTTCTGATCGCAGAGGGAGGAGCAGGGGCTGGAGGAGGCTGTTCAGAGTGCCAAGCCAATTAAGGTTTGATAATAATAGTGCAGAGGCCTTTAATGAATACAAAGCGAAAACAATCATCAATGATTCACGGCTTTCTGAGCGCATGCCCAGCAGGTAAACACTTCTTAGGGGTCAGGCAAACTAAGCCTATGGTTCTCTTCTTCTGCCCTTCTCCCTTCTCCTTTTCCTGCTCCCCCTGTCTTTAGCCACAGGATATATTACAGATATGGGGTACTTGTCCAATATGAGATAGCGTCAGGGGTGTCCCAAACCCACTAAGTTTACCCCCGCTATGGCTGCCCTGCATGGCTGTGTGGGGCAGGCATCTGTGAAAATGGTACTGTTATATATCTGGGTGTTTATGGCAATTACCAGGTGCTGAGGTCTGACATCCCCTACTTCTTGCCTTATACCTGGAGACTTTACCTGGCTTTCCCACATCTAACATAAACACCACACCCCTTTTCTAGCTCCTCTACAGCTGAGCAGCTCCCCTTCTCCCCTCCTGGACCCCCTGAGCTCTGATCTGAACCTGCCCTACAGAGGAGATGGGAACTGTCAATCAGGAGTGTCCCGGGACAAGACTGTGTTCGATGCACTTTCCTGAGCATTTCCTTGCACAGTGCTGCCGGGTACTAGATGAGACCTAGAAAACCGTTTCAGAAGGCACAGGTCGACCGCTTAGCCCCTACCATTTCCAGGAGCAGGACTCCCCCAACCCAGCTGAAGCTCACCATGCCATCCCATCCTCTACAGAGAGAAGAGTATGTGACGTCATCACCGAGGTCACAGGCAAACCTCTCCAGTTGCTGATACCTCTCCACTCTCATCTCATTCTAACTGGCTTCTCTCTCCGCTCCTATGAATCAGCTCTCATAAAGTTCCCCCGTGGCATCCTTTCTCCTCTCAGAGAAGCTCCGTTTGTTTCCTGACTCCCAGGCCTCCATTCCTTGGGTTCCCTTTTGCTTTTTTAGGCTATGCTTTGCCTATCTTTCTTGGCAGTCTCCCCGCTTTCCCATGCTAACATGCAGGAACAACTCAGGGCTACATTTTCCTACTGGTTCATGATTTCCCTCAACTTCATCTCTAGTCCATATCCCCCTTGGATATGTGATATGTCCTTTCCTGACACACGTTATCAAGCTGAACATATGTTGCCTACTTGACACACTTGCCCTTGGAAGGCTGGGAGCTTCTCACAGAGGTCCATCTCTAGCATGGCTTAGAGCTGGGCAGGAAAACACAGTATGATGCGGAAGCCAGGAGCCACAGGAGACCAGATCACACTACCCTAAAATATGCCTCTTTGGCACAAGGATTATTTTGAGCTGGACATGTGAAGACGTTTACAGACACAGGAGAAGATGGGACAACACAGAAGCCACCAGTTTCTGAAGAGAAATTTGCAGTCAGTGGTTTCTTCATATCTAAGAATATTGAGTTCCAGGATACCATACACGTACTAGACTCTAGAGATGGCTGAATCCCGGATAGAAGATGGTATAAATCCTATACGCCTCCTTCTGTATGCATAAACCATATCTAGATGACTTTGTATCTCATACAATGCAGCACTATGGACACACTAATTATACTTCATCGCTTAAGGGAATATGATATAGCAGATTCTGTATAAGTTTGGTACAGATACAATTCCCCCCTGATGATCTGCAGTTCACTGAAGCCACAGAAATGAAAGTTATGTGTACAAGGTCCTATTGCATAAAGGAAATACTGTGTTTATACTTAATGAGACATGAAGTCTTGCTTTGTTGCTCAGACTGGTTTCAGATTTCTGAGCTCAAACGACCCTCTGATCTTAGTCTCCTGAGTAGCCAGGCTACAGGCACACACCACTGACCCAGCTCAGAAATCTCTGTCTGTAGGGGAGTCTCCTTTCTGTACTAGTAAGAGGAGGCGATGGAGAAAGTGCTAACTAGATCCATAGAACAAACCCTGTGCTGAGCCTAGTTTCCCTGGTCACTTCCCCATCACCAGCCTTCCTGTGCCCTTCTTTTTTGAAGTCTGGATTCAAAGCTGCTTGTGTGTGAGTCACTCACTTCCCTGGGTACCTCCCATGTAACTGAAGGCATGTGGTGTGAATATCCTCCCTTTCTGTTCTTGCTAATATGTCTCTTGTGAGAGGCATCCATCCCAGCTAGGAACCACAAAGGGCAGAGGGAGCAATAACTTCCCTTCGCCTGTGAATTAAGAAGAGGCCGCTACCCTCAGAAGGTAATTCGTTAGAAGTAGGGCTGGACACAAGTGTCCCTGGTACCCTGCTGACCAACAGCGCTTCCATGCTGCCCCTTGTGACCCGACTCCTCGTGTCTCTCTAGGTCCTCCTTTCTGGTCCTGCAGCAGAGTCAGGGATGTGGCTTATGGATACAGCTTCTTGGGTTTTCCAATCAGCTCTAAATCTCCATGGAGACAGTACATTTCTCTACCATCTCATTTTTTCCACCCTCCATCTCTCTTACTCAAACAGTTCCGATTTATCTATTCTTCCCTCCTTCTTCCAGACACTGTATAGGCTGTTTTCCTGATCAGTTCCTGATGAGACTTCCTAGTCCCCAATTCCTTGGCTTTACCATCTCTTAGTAACAATGGTCAGCTCCCTAGGAACCAGGTGATAATTCTGATGCCACCTAACCTCACATCAAACTCTCTTCCTCCTGACTCTAAGGGTAATGAAGGGAGGCCACTGTAGTTTTGTTACCTAATTTACTCTCATTTGTACTAGACGGTTTGGCTCACCCACCCCAAAAATGTTTTAATGCGTACGTAAGTCCTGATACCTTTCATATCTCTAAAGGATCTAAACCCTGACCCAGGTCCAGTTACTCTCATCTCTCTCTTTGATCGATGTAGTGGCTTGGCTAGGAAAACATCTGTGACTGAAGGTCTCAGACTCATGGGGACTTAGAAAAACCAAGGATAAATGGGGACAGTTCGTCTTGGGTTGTCTGACTGAATGCCACATGAACTGAATGCTGGCTTGTATGGTTTCTCAAGAAACACACAGAAATATGTTAGAGCACCACAACTCAGCGACCAAGCCAGAACCCCATGAATTAAGACACGTGACCTTTGTTGGGCTTATTGATCATTTGTCTCCATATCTGTGTCTGTCTTTAGCTCAGAACTAGACCTGAGCTATAACCAACTGTATTACATTTGCCAAAAACTGAGGTTACTGGAGAGATAGCTCAGTTGGTAAAGTACTTGGTGCTCAAACATGACGACCTAGATATTATATATATAATGTGTGTGTGTGTGTGTGTTTGTGTAAATGTGTATACGTGTTTTCCCTTTGCTGGAGTTATAGGTGGATATGAACCATTGTATGGATGCCAGGAACTGAACTTCGGTCTTCTCCAAGAGCAACAAGTGCTCCTAACCTCTGAGTCATCTCTCCAACTCCAAAGACCTGGGTTTGTTTTTCAGCACCAATGTCTGAAGCCGGTGGCACAAGTTTGTAATCCCAGCACTGTGGTGACAGACCAGGTGGGTCCCTGGGGCCTTTGGGCTAGCCAGCAGGCTGAATTGGCAAATTCTAGGTCCTAGTGGGAGATCGCTAAGTGTCTCTAAGGCAGTAAGACGATTGAGACGCGATCGTGGAGCTCCGTGTGGGTGTAGACAAGCTAACTACCTGTCCAGCTGACATTCCATGAGCAAAGAACGACAGCAGTTGCTGTCAGATGCTGTGCGGTTTGTCTCACAGGCAAGGCGGAACAGAGACAGGCGGGGACCAAGCCGATCTACCCCAGGACAAATGTGAAAATGTGTGTCCTCTCTAAATTTGTGCCGTTAAACCTAACTACTTAGGAGGGTATGAAGCTACTGGAGGGGGGATGGAGTCATGAGGGTACAACCCACATGAATGGTTTTTTTCTTTTTAATAAATGAGACCACAGAGAGCTACTCTATCTTTCAATGACATGAAGATACAGTGACAAGATATCACTTGAGAACTAAGAAGTGGCCTTCACTTGGCAGAGAATCTGCCAGCATCTTGATCTTGGACTTCCTAGCTTCCAGAACCATAAGAAATTGGTTACTATGGTTTATAAGTCAGCCTGTCTGTGACACTTCCCCACAGCACTCTGAATAGAATGAGGGAAGGAGGGAGGGAGGGAGCTGCAGGCTGCACACAGAAAGGGATGCTGGA